TTTATCTTGAGACAGGGTCTTGCTAAGTTGCTGACGCTGGCTCTGACCTTGCAATCAATCCTCCTGCCTCAACTTCCTGAGCTGCTGGGATTACAGGTGTGTACCACTGCACTTGGCTACACAACTGTTTTAACATTTGCTTGCAGTAGTAACCTTGCTTTCTTTAATATTTCCTTCAAAAACATTTTTTTCCAACTAATTCTGCCCTCAATAACTGATTTTGAGGATGACTCTGAGAGTTCAGACTTCACCTTTGAAGGATAAGGTTTCTTATGAGGTTAAAATCAACAGGCAATAAATAGCCTTCCCTTATGGGCTTTAAACAGGATTGAAAATAAAAGGAAGATGCAAAGAGAACGATTACTTAAATGCTGACCCACGAGCCACGTGCCTTGCCTGGAGAAGGGAGGGGGACCTGTGCAGCAGCATGTGACCTGGACAGCCCTCAGCTGGGCATCGTTCCCACACACACCCCAGGAGGACAGAATGGCATACTTCTGTGGCACTGCAAACACTGACATGACTGAGGTCACCAGCAGGACCTTGAGATGGGTGACGCTCTGCCCCCGCATCTCCTCAGGGTGCATACTTGGAAGTTCGTGGCGGTACACACTTGTGCACTGCCCATCTGTGTATGTGTGTGTGTGTTTTATCTCGGTGTCTTTTTTTTTTTTTTTGGTATTGAGGATTGAACTCAGGGGCACTCAACCACTGAGTCATATCCCCAGCCCTATTTTGTATTTTTATTTAGAGACAGGGTCTCACAGAGTTGCTTAGCACCTTATTGTTGCTGAGGCTGGCTTTGAACTCTCAGTCCTCTTGTCTTAGCCTCCCAAGCTGGTGGGATTACAGGCGTATGCCACCGTGCCCAGCTCAGTGTCTTAATGTAACATATTTTATGAGTGGATCTGTAGTTTTTACCTCATTTTCTGCTCTGAGAGCTGAAAATTCACTCTTCTCCAAAATGATCATATCCTTTTTCACATTAGCAATCTTAGACATTATTTGCTGAAGAGTGATCTCCTAGAAAGAGAGAAATGACACATACAATCCAGTGAGCCCAGCAGTCCACCTCCTGCTGTCTGTACCTGCTGTCATCGCCACAAGGAACTAGACAGATATGGACTGGAGGGGGCTCAGTAAGGTCACCACTATTCAAGGTGAGAAAACGGGGAGAACAAACCATGCAACAGATCACCACCAGGTGAATCACAAGTCTGTGGACCAAGGACACGACTCTGGCCACATCTCCATTTATTGAAGTACCCTGACCAGGACAGACAGCTTTTGAGCATAGTGAACTTTTAAGCATGAAGAGTCTAATTTTATGCTCTATTCTCTTTTGCCTCCTATGGTTAAAATTACTATATATTTTTCAACCAACTATTATCTGAAAAGTTTCATGAATACTTATTACAAATAACATCCCACTTTCAGATTTCCAGTTTGCTCACCCACCAGGACCACACTAACCTGCTGTACCTTGGTGACCATGTCTTTGTAGACGATGTTCATATTGGTCTCCATGATCTTGACCAGTGCAGAGACAATGATTTCTGCTTGTTGAGTAGTAAAACCTAAGAATGCACACACACGAATATGATCACACTCGGAAGAACGCAGCTATCAAGATAAGACAACCCATGGCCCACGTGAATGTTCCGTTCTGAACCCAGAAACAAGAGGGAAGCAGCGGGCAGGAGGGCGGAGCTGAGAGCCACAGCTGGGATGTGCCTGTCACCCTGACAGGTAAGAAACATCTCAGATGTCCCACACCCAGACAGGTGCCCAGGTCATTAAGATCTCCAAC